ACTTTGTGAAAGAGTTGTTCCCCTACCTTGTACACAACTTACACTCATGAACAGAATGCACATTGGAGCTGTTGTTGACTTTAAAGAAGAGCCATAGGTGAGCAGGTTCTAAGTTGTACATAATCAGCAGCTACAATTAGAGAAAAAGGTATCTGGGCGTGATCTCTAGTAGGCAAAACTTATTCTTAACAACCCTAGTCCCCAGTGATCTTATTCTCTTCTTTCTGCTAATTTACAATAGAATGCTTCACACTCCCTATAATTTGGAATACTCGAAAGGCCTTGTTGAAATGCCAAGAATAATAATGATAGCTAACATTTATATAGCACTTACTAGGTGCCAGGCACTGTGCTGAGCACTTTACAATTATTATCTCATTTGGTCCTCACAACAACCCTGGGAAGTAGGAACTATTATTATTCCCATTTTACAGATGAGGAACCTGAGGTAGAAAGAGATTAAGTGACTTGCGCAGGATCACGTAGCCAGTAAGTGTCTGATGCTGGATTTGAACTCAGATCTTCCTCACTCCAGGCTCAATGTTCTATCCACTATACAGCCTACCTGCCCCAAATGGAATATGAGCCACAGGAATAGCCTGCATGTGCTCTAAGCATCACAAACACACATGTAAGCCCTCACATTAAATTCTCTTGAACAAATCTTTACTAATTGCTCTCCACAATAATATCATTAATACCCTATAACCAAATTTCACAGTCAAAATCCTGCTGTGCAGTCAGGTAACCAATGGACTGAGAAAGTTTGTCCTGCTTAGCTCTGACCCAGTGCTTCAAATCTCCTTCAGAGCCTCAGGTATTCACAAAGGCCTGTTTTAAACTGGTTTAGTTTTAAAGCTTACTCCTATGGAATCAACTGTCCCCTTTAACAGTTACACCAAATACATTATCATGGAAATGATACAGGACATTACGACACTTTTTTCAGGCTCTCCACTTTGTGCACACAAGGACCCAGATATCAGATACTATAAGATCCGACTTGCTTTAAGTATTCAATTAAAACAAATTAATTCTTGTTAGAGGCAGCTAGATGGTTCAGTGGATACAGTGCTGGGCCTGGAGTCAGGAACACTCATCTTCCTGAGCTCAAATCTGGCCTCAGACATTTACTAGCTGTATGACCCTGAGCAAGTCACTTAACCCTGCTTGCCTCAGTTTCCTTATCTGTAAAATGAGCTGGAGAAGGAAATGGCAAATCATTCCAGTATCTCTACCAAGAAAACCCCAAATGGGGTCATGAAGAGTCAGACTGGATTAACCAACAACAATTTTATTAACCAGCTTCTTGTTTATTATGTGAACTATGTTTACTATGTGGTTTACTTTTGAAAAATGCTACTAAAAGCCCCTTAAGCCATATACTTTGGGATCATGATTTTCCCAGGGATTATAAGTACCTGGACCCGAGAATAACTGTAGCCATTAAGAAAAACATCTGTGACTCTGCTGTTGGTGACACTTCTGGAGAGTAGGAACTTGTTTTAATCTTGTTGATACACAGTAGACCTTGGTAGAACTAAACAAGACCTGAAATGAGCATTGTGCCAGTTCTAGCCGAGAGTACCCCTAGCATGCAGCCATCAATCAGAACCATTTTCAGTTTGGTTTGTATGTGGCCATGGATAAAGAAAACTGATGTTTTAATTCTCGTGTGTGTGTGTGTGTGTGTGTGTGTGTGTGTGTGTGGTACCCTGAGTATTTTTTTTAATCCTACTCTTGGTGTATTTTTAAAATATAGTCTTTCAGAAGGGAGACTTCCTTCTTCCATCATTGTCCTTGATCTCTTTCCCCATCTCTTGTATTAACAGGTCATTGCCAGTTCTCAGCAGAATGTGACTCTCTCTAGAAAACAGCTTCAAGAAGACCTCCATCTGCAAAGTTGTGGTGCCCTGAGCTCCCCAGTTGCTTTCTTGCATAGGGTACGCCTCCCTCTCAGTCTAGAAGGAAACAGCCCCCAGAGTTTTGTTGAAGCTTGCCGGGAGACCATAATTTGACATTGAACTAGATGGACCTAGGAAAAACTGATCCTGACCAGAACATTGCATTGTGCCTTCCCAGACCTGAATGACCACCTCAGAGGAGGGCGGGTTGCGGGGGGAAAGGGGAGAAGGCAAAAGCATCATCCAATCAGATTATATTTCTTACTCATCTGAAAGAGGATAATGCACAGATTTTACTGAATGCCCAAATTAAATATATGTTATCATGTGACAAAAGGCATTTTCCAATTTTTGCTCGGATGTGCTTGTCTAAATGTTGCTGTGAGGTAATTTCCAGGAAACTCCCTCTAAGCCACAAGAGACCTGTTTATACAACTTGAAAGTTGTATTTATTTAATGTACCTCACAGTGTTTTAACAATGATCAGTGTTTTAATAAAAAGTATTTCTGACTCTTGCTTCTCCAAGGACTGATTGGAGTAGAATCAGAAGAGGATGATACACTTGTTATTAGAGAAGCTCTGAATATCACTACGTTTTCAGGTTTTTGTGTATGTTTAGCATGTCAGACTTATGGATGAGTTGGACAAAACTTGAGAACTGAAAGGTATATATTGTCATAACTTTTCTCAGAATTGCCCTCAGATGTACTTAAGAGTTTTCAGAAATAGCAGTACCTAAGCGAAGGGTGAAGGGGTAGATAGGCCATGCCTAAAAGGTGCCATCCAAAAACCATGTCAAGGCATTTCCCATAAAACTATCCAAACTGTGCGTGTGAGTTTAATGTTTCTGCAGGCTTCTCTACTATAAATTCAGGGCTATGGCTCAGAATTATCCTTTAATTGGGGCTTTTTTCCAGATATGGATTATTTGATGAGAACATGGTTCCTAGTGCATAAGCATTTACATTATTTCTCCTAACATGGTACTTAGTGAAAAAAGTACTACTAAGTGGAAATATTAGGAGTGCCATCTTGTAAAAATCTAGTCTTGCAGCTCATTGGTGTGAGAAGCACAGTTAAGGCAAGCTTCAGACCTCAGTTGGTCACTGAATTGATGCCAGTTGGATAGGCCTGATATGCAAGGCTTTCCTAGTGACACTTACAGAGCCACAAGCTAGCTTTGGGTCACAAGGATGGTGTATAAGCAGAGTCACTTAATGGAGCTATCCTTCTGGCTTTCCTGATTTAATCCCAGGTAAATTTATACTCAGGTTCTTTTTGTGACATCATAATTAAATATAAAGCCCTATCTGGGGAAACAACATAGAATATATAAATTAACCCTTCTCCTAGACTGGCAACAAGCTAGCATTTTTCACTTCTTGGAATACCCAAAGAACTTTATAACATTCCCAATTCATCTGAGCGGTTTTAATTAGAGAAGGAAATCTTGCTGGAATTTCAAATTAAATTTCCCACTTTAAAAAATGAAAATTCTATTTTGAGTCTGTAAATGTGGACTCTTTGGGGAGGAAGGGGACACACAGCCCCACTCTGGCACAATTGGCAGTTGATGCTGATTTGAAAGGCTGTCCTTTATATGCTGGTGATGACATAGTCTATAGCTTAAGCATGATTTGAATACTTCCTTTGCTACAACCCAGGACTGACCAGTTAAACAAAATTCTTGTCCTCATCAGCCCTTCTATCTCCCCCAGAAAAAAAATGGAACAAAAAAAAATACCGTAATTCAGCATTGTTGGTCATGTGTGACTTACCAATGCACAATACTCAATCTAACTCTTGTTGCAGAAGATAACTGCACCTCCAGGACTTGTGACCTTGAAGAGAGGGAGCTTATTGAATGATGGAAGTACTGTGTAAGTCACAACAAGTATATACCAAGAGCCAAAGAATTTCATATATTATCAGCAAATAACATTTGTTTAGCACTTGACAGTTTTCTGGTGCCCTCACACGTCTCTCGTTAGGTCCTTACAACGAATCTGTGAGGCGTCAGACCTGGAATTCAAATTTCATTGCTGCTACTTTGCCACATTTATAACTTAGGGCCATTCACTTAACCTCTTCTGGACCTCCATTCCCTCACTTATAAAATAAGGTATGGAACTAGATTCTTTCTAAGACCCTCCTCTTCCACCTCTTAAGTTCGTCATCCTGTGGCTTGCCCAAGATTGTTGCTGTTGTCATTTCAGTTGTGTCCGACTCTTTGGGACCCCGTTTGGGGTTTTCTTGGTAGGGATACCGCAGTGGTGTGCCATTTCCTCCTCCAGCTCATTTTACAGATGAGGAAACTGAGGCAAACAGGGGGAAGTGACTTGCCCAGGGTCACACCGCTAGTAAGTGTCTGAGGCCAGATTTGAACTCAGGAAGATGAATCTTCCTGACTCCGGGCCTCACACTTTCTCCGCCGCTCCACCTACCTGCCACATTGTCCAAGATAGTCTTGCAATTGTAAAGGCTGGAACTGGGAACCTAGTACCAAGTTCCTAGGTTCTAAAGTCCAGTTCTCCTATCACTCTACCATCTCGGTAGGAGTTAAAGCAGATAAATTTCTGTCCCCATCCCCTTAAAAATCAAACCCACACAATGACATCTTAGGTTTCCAGAGACACAGAGCTTCTCTTGATGTTGGGTGTGCATCATCCATTTAATCATTAGGCAACACAATGCAAAGACTGCCTTCTAACTAGGATAGGAAGGAGATAAGCAGATGACAGAAGAGTATTCTCACCCCCACAAAGTGACTTCAGTGAAATCAATCACCATTATTGAAATTATTTTAGCAGATGCGTTTTCAGTTGCACTGATGTGACGCCGCAGTGACATCCAGTGGCAACCATTCGTGCTAATAGCAAGCACATCGTCCCTCTGAATTTTACAGCTGAGAGCTCTTATGCTCTACAACCCATTAAATGATGTTGGGATGGGATATTTAGTAGCTATTGGAATTACTGAATAAAGTGGTTGTGGTGCTACCTTGGTGAGAGACCAAAAATTTTAAGAGATGCTGACCATTAAAACCTCAGTGAACAAAACAGTCCAAACAAGCACATTTTGTTTATTACTTCAGATTTATTAGTGGGATTAGCTTAATTCTTTCCTAAGGTCAGTTGCATGCAACACATAGGTTACTCCTTGAAATACAGTAATCCTAAAGCTTTAGTTACTGCATGGTAAGGCTTCTTAAGTCACAGTGTATTTCTTCAAGGCCATGGCCAAAGAAAAAAAATCAAGACAAAATGACATCAATTAACATTTATCTCAGTAATGAATACAACTTGACTACATTTTACTTTATCTATACACATTCTAATACTGTTGATGATGATAGCTCCTTGCTCACCCAAGATAACTTGTATCCCTGACTCATTGCCTTAGGATTAAAGGGGTGGTGGTGGGAGGAGGGCTGTTGCCATTTTTTCACATGTGTAAATATATATTCAAAGGACTGTAGGAACTCTAGGGCAGCTCTACTCCTCTCCAGAAGTAACAGGTAAGCATGGCTTGACCATGGGGAGCACTGCATGGTTGCAAATGGGCAAGGAATAAAATGGCAAAAGTAACATTTGCACAGATTGTGGAACATGTCTGGTACAAGAGTAGCAGCCTTGTTCATGATGATTCAGTCTTAAATCTGTAGGAAGTTTGTCAAACTGAAAAGTCAAAAACATAAATATGTATCTAAATAAATATTTTGAGTTTTTACCTTGTGGCCATCATCCTTTATTTAACACAGGAAAGGCTCCTTTTGTGTTATTAAATAAACACATTCACGTTCTGCCAAAGTTTAATTACCAGTTACACGCTTGGAGTAATGAATGCTAGGGGATACTGCTGTGAATTCAACTTTTGAAGCAACTGAGTCTCTCTCACACACACATTTTACACCATCAAGTAACACCTCCGTTAGCTCAGTTTTTGAACCTCGAGGGATTGGATTAGATAGTAGGATCTGGTAAGTCAGCCATGTTAAGATTTATTTTTCTTCACTGTATTCTCTTCCACAGACCCATTCATCAATCACATTCACCACAGTTTCAAGTATAACAGACAGACATCTACTTTGCCACACAAAGGTACAAATAAATATTCCTGTGGTCAACTGCAATGAGAAAACAGTTCAGAATATGTTGCAAAATACTTCAGTGTTTTACAAAGATCTGGTGTCTGTGACTCTGGTCATCAATAAAGACACATCACTTTTTTTTTGGCCAAAAAAAAAAAGGAAGTGGGGGAGGGGAAGACACTCAGGGAAGCCTATCTGGTCATTGAGCTGCCAATTCAGGTCCTTCATAGCCTTTTGTTCTTAGAAAATACAAGATGTCCTATGTTGTTCAGAGTTCACTCAGGTCAGGTGGGGATCTTTGACTTGCCTTTAGCTCTTTTGATGAAAGTCAGATTTAGGCTAGATATAGAGGGGTGTCTCTTGCCCAGTGAGAAGCCTGAACATTGCGGCTGGCATTGTCTTCATGTGAATCTGTCAATGAATTGAAAAGAGATTTAAGACACATAGATTTGTAGCAGAGCTTAGTGCAGTCTGTCCATTGCCTTTGGAAGCCTCTATTTCCCAGACTTGAGAAGTAAATCAATTGAGAACAAATAATTCAGCATATAGCTAGATGTGGAAATTCCTTCCATCCTTCAGGGAAAAAAAAAACTTCAATGGTTTCACTGAGAGCCTTCTGTTTAAAGTATACATCTTTGAGAGAGCTTGAAAAAGAAAAATTATGATTTAACCAATGCAAAAGGTGATTTAGAATACATTTTATGGTGTTTCAGGCGATTAAGTTTTTCCTATCCCTGATGCTTTATGGTTTTATATATACCACTAAGTGCCTTTTCCTCCCTTTCAGCACAAGTTGATCCTGGGGAATTGAAACATTTGATTTTTAATTTTGACTACAATTTAGGTTTTCAGTTGAGAAGATGCTGGTGCAATAGTGGAGCTCCCTAAAGAAATCTGAAATGTGTTTGTTTGATTTGATGAAAAGGGAAACAAAAAGGTGTTTTCAAGAACAAGATTTCTCTAGGTGCTTGCTCAGGAAAGGAGACACAAGTCCCAACACACCTCTCTGCTTTTCCCAACTCAAACTAGCAAACAATGGGCTTGTTTATTCTTGGAGTAAACTACTCAAAGAGACAGTAATTATGCTCTTCCAAATTGTAAACCGGTAAGCAAATTGCCATATTGAGCCCAGAAAAAGTATAGGGGGAACAGGTTATTTTCATCTCCCAGGTTGCCACTTTATTCCCAAAGAAGAGTTTTCTCATGATATAAAAAAAGAACCATCAGACAGGATTGGGGTTGGGGGCAGGGGGATACATGGTCTCTGATATTCACAAGGACTCTGATATTTTCAACCTCCTTTCATCTTTACCCTCACTGAGCTCCACCTACCCCCTCCCCTTAGGCCTTCACAGTGCTCTGTGTGCCCCAGTTTTTATTGTGAACAAATTCTTTTAGTCCTTAAAATTTTCTTGGCAACTCTCTCCAAAGGTGACCAAGTCACTCCTTAGCTCCCTAGTACTTTGAGCCAGCGTGAGTGAGCTGCTCATTTCTTCTTCCCCAGTGATACTTCAAGTCAGCTTTTCTGTCTCCTCTCTTCCTCTGCCAACCTCCAAGTCATCTCTCACTTTCTTCAATGACTTTAACACCATCTACTTTTCTTCATGACACTTCTCCTTGACATCATGCTTAGCCCTTGACATAATGGTGACCCTTATATGAAGTCATATGAATAACAGTTTCTCCATACACATCTCCCTATCCTCAACTCCATATCTTACCATTTTAGGTGCCCACCCTGTCACATCCTGTCACCTCATCACCTCACACAACTGCTCAACTGTGATCTGTCTCCTGCGCCTTCCTTTCTATTCATCTTGTTCTTCATGTTGGTCCTGATCCTAGGCCCTTCCTCCTGTTCCGCCTTCACTTCTTCATTATTGACCTACCTGGAACCTTATGTTCAGCCAATGGATGAACTTACTCCTACTTTGCTGCAAAGATGGAGGCCTTCCAGCATAAGCTTTCTCTCAGCCTTTTCTTCTCCACCTGTCTAACTCTTCTACCTGTACTCTTGATTGTAGCACCCCTTCATCCTTTGTCCCAGGTTCCAACTCTCTGAACTATTTAGTCTCTACTTTTCCACTAATGTTTTTTCACAGAATCTCAGTATTAGAAGGAACCATATATTTCAACTCATGGCAGAACAAAAATCCCTCTACAACATACCTAACAAATGGCTATGCAGCCTTTACTTCAATGACGGGGAGACCCCCACTACACCTCCCAAGAGATTCCATTCCATTTTTGGAGAACTCTACTTATTAGGATGATTCTCCAGGCATCATCCCAAAATCTGTCTCTTATGGACTATTTGTCTTTCCCTAAACTATGTATTTTGTGCTTTTCTTATACCATTTAATTACATTACAAAAAAAATTGTATGTGTTCACATATCCTTGCTTGTAATTATAAGCACTGTGAGGACAAGAATTTTCTTATTCATCATTTGAATATCCCTCAGTGCCTAGCACAATATAAATGTGTTGAATCAAATGAAATTAAAAAGGAAATTTTGCACGGGATATCTATCAATACTCAAAATCCATATTTTGACTTGTCTAAAAAAAGGAACTATCATCTTTGATGAATAAAAGATGAGTCAAATGACTTGTGAATAGAAAAGAGATGCTGGCTGAGTTTAATATGATGGGGGAGAAAGCAAGGCAAGGTTTTTGCTTGAAAGAAAGAAAGAAGGTGGTTATTTGATTGCTGCTATTTATGTAATTAATTACAGGTGTTCAGTTACTACTTTTTTTTTCCTCAAGGTCACTTCATTCATTAATAGCATTTCTAATATTAGCTATGATTTCCTTTTTTATTTTTAATAGAATGATTTGCAATACAATAGTCATACATTCTCTTGTCCCTTGTCTACTGATAATGACAAAAGAAAATAAATGACAGCTAATGGGGACCCCTTTGTAATCACAAAGATGTCACCTATAAACAATTCTGTAGCTGTCATGTCTACATACAAGTCCTGTTGTAGATTGGGAAACTCATCCATCATACTGTTGAGATCATTGTTTTATGTATCATGAAAAGTATAGCAAGATTAAAGGGAAGATTAGAAAAGAATGGAACACATTTAGGGCAGTAAAAGATGTTTAGGGATTTCAAGATGAAGCAATATATTAGGGATAAAGTAGAACAAATTCATGTGGGTTATTTCTAATTCTCTCATCTATAAATGCAATATTCCAAAGTGATATCCTACCACATCACATCTCAATTAGAAAGGAAACAAAACATAATCCAGGAAAAATAACCTCTAAGTTGATTGGCTACTGAGACAGCAATGACTTTTTACACAGAAGGGGATTCTACCCCTCTTAAGACAGTTGAAGAGAGAAGCAATAGTGCAGATTTATCTAGCTTGAGAAGGAGCACAGCAGGCTAGAAGTAATTAATTGTTCCTTCCCATAACTTCTGCTATTAGCTGCTCTGGAATTAGTGAAAAAAAAAAACAAACAGTTTCTGGACAATATAATAGTTAAATAGCCTTCAAAAGAAATTTAGTTATATACTACATAAAGCAGAAGGGAGAAAGAATTCAGTGAAAAATCCACTTGGACAATTAGCAACGTTGGAAAAACAACATTTAAATGCATGCATGGCCAAATTCAAACCACCTGGCATTTTCCCTGTGTAAGTATAGGGAACATTAAATTCAAAAGAAGCACCTTGGGAATTTGGAGGACTAATCAAGCCAATGCTAGAGGATGACCCTCAAATTCATCTTCTCTCACCCAGCCAAAAAATCCAACAGGACATAGCAACTTAGCATTCTAGGTTACTTCCAATACTATGGATGAAGAGAAAGCTATCCACAAAGTTAAGATGGCAGCAAGAAGGAAGGATGTGTGAATTATAAATGTTCCTGTTCTTGCAACAACTATTTTAGGGAATCGTTCCTTTCCATTCTGGGGAATAGGCCTTTGGCCTAAGGGAATACCTGATTAGGAAATGTCAGGAGCTCTCTTTCTGATCCTAACCCAGAAGCTACACAGGCCAAAACAATTGGCTTTTTTCAGCCCAGCTACTTGCTTTACAGAAAGGCCAAGGGAAACCAAACATGAGTCTCAGACCAGAAGTTTCCTAAAATACCAGGCAAGTCAACATATACTGCACCCAAGCAGATAAAGAAAAAGGATGTGGCTCTAGGAATGCTACTTGAAATTCAGGGGAACAAGGAAAGAAGCATAATGAAATCTTGAACACACATTTGGACAAAACATTTAAAATTAAAAATCAGTGAATTTACAGTTACTGCTATACACTGTGAAGCAAAACTCCAAATCTATCTGGAGCAGAAACACTGTCAAACCCACACCTGGTGGATTGCAAGGTCTACAATCTCAACATGAGTCAACAGTTTGAAATGGCAACCAACAAAACATTTAATTCTCAGGCTGCATTATAAGAGGCACAAGTCTAGAAAAGGGGGGAGATAGGCTAGCTCTTTATTTCCCCGATTAGGCCATATTTGGACTTGTGTGTCCAGTGCTGGGCATTCTAGTATTTGGAAGGACATTGACAAGCTAGAATGTGTTGAGAGGGAACCATCTAGCTTGGTGAAGGGCCCTGGAACTGTAAAACAAAGATCAATGAAAGGAACAGGGAATATTTAACTCAAAGAAGAGAAGACTTAAAGGAAAATGTGATCACTGTCTTTAAGGACTTGAAGTATTATAACATGGTTTATTTTGCTTAGTATTAGATGGCTATTGGTCGGGGATATTGTGGAAGGGATCCTTCTTAGTTACACGTTGAACTACTGGCTTCCAAAGGTCCTTCCTTCTCTCTCTGAAATCAAGGACCTAATTCAATGAGTAATAAAATTAGGACATAGGCCCTATACAGCCCAATCCCATTTCCTAAGCAGTCATGGGTCATTCCATAGGCTCATTAATTTTCTTCACCTCAATATTCCCAATAAGAATATATGTATAATAAAAACATATATATGCATTATATATAATATATGTATGTATACATACACATATTTTAAGGCCCTTGCAGTTCAAATATTATATTTATTGGGATTGTTAATGTTAAAACCAAAAAAATACGTAATTGTAAAAGTATATAATACTTCATATGTATACTTTTATATATTTTATCTGCTTTAATACATGAAGGTGTTACTGACCCATCATCAAAAGGACACTGAACTATTTTTCCAGAATCTGTGATTGACTTTGCTAAGCTACCTAACCTCTTTTTCCCTTCCTACTTGTGACTAATGCAACATTTACAAGATGGCTGGCCAGGGTAAGAGTATAGCTTGTGGCCTTGAACTTGAATTTTTCTCTAACTGGATTAAAGCCAAAGCATTGGTGTTTTGCACATCATGCTAAAGCAGCTGATCTAACCAGTTCTGACAGATATATGAACAAATAAATCACAGTTAGCCAAACATATTTTTCAAATTGGCACACTGCAATAAGGAAAATTTTGATAGGATCATCCTTGATTTAAGCTTCTCCATCAGCCCAATAATCTTTTTTCCTTGCCCATTCATTCACCCACAGGGCTCATCAAAACCTCAAGTCTTGTTTATCAGTCACTAATTTTTAAACATGCTTAGGAATGATGAAAAATAGAGACAGACACTTTAATCTCCTCACCCATCCCCAGTCAAGCCTGAGAAACACCGCAAGGTGAAAGGATTATAAAACCCATCAGTCTGTGTTCTCACCTCTTTGAATATCAATTCATCTCAGGTCTAAAAACTGAAACATTTTTCATTGCTCCCAGCCCAATGCTATTCCACTGATTTCGTCATCTCCGTGAGGTTGATCACTCCAAAGGGGCTGACATGTCAACAATTCCACTTAGGAAAATCACATTGTTTCCTCTTTGAAACCATTTGTAAAAGGAGGCTTAATGCAGCTTATCCTTTCTCTCCTTCCTTCCTCAAAATGATGCTGCCAGTAACTTCCAACAAGCCTTCCTCCCCTCTCAACCCAGAGGTCCCTGACTTAGTGTTTCAAAGGAATGCTGAACATGAAGAACTGTTTAAAAAAAAAAAGGTAACAAGAAATGCTAACTGTTGAGAGCTCTAATGCCGTATCACAGCAGCTGAGTCCGAAGCCAGAATGCGAAGGGGAAGAAGGTTAAATCTGCAACTAGACAATGCTCCAGATGTCCACAGTGAGGGGCAAATAGATGGGTTTGGGCTTTGTGCCAGCCTGCAGGCTGAACAGAATGACTCAAATCTTACCTAAGCCCGCCTTCTTCCTAGAAACTAAGGCTTGCCTAGATGGTTTAGAGTTGAGAAAGGCCTGTTTGCTAATTCCCAGTGATGGACTCCTAGATCTGGCTTGAGTCTGAATCAGTTTCTGAAAACATTTAAGTGGCAGCTCCATCTCTACAGGTCTTTGGTCCCTTGTGTCAACAGAAATAACATTTTGACCAGTCAAATGGAATGAAGGTATCATGCAATTGCCTAGTTAGTATTATAACTCTGCACTCCCATGACAAATGCACTCATTATTTGTAAGAAACTGCTAATACTGCTCAGTCTGATTGAAACAATCCTGCCTTCTGAATAGCACAAGCTCAGCTGGGGTGCAAAGAGAAAAACTCCCAATAGAAATGAGCAAATTGAGTTCTTGGTACTGACAGTCTCAGAAGTGATATATTAAGTGAAACCCATCTTGAGAAAGGCAAAGCTCTTCTGGAAAAGACTCAGGGATGCATAGCAATTCATATGGCCAACCCTGCACATTATAAATTGGAACCATTCACTCCCCAAACTTTTTTATGTTCCCCAGACAACACTAATGAAAAGTTCATTGCTTATGATTCATTCTTTGATATCAGGAGAAAATAACAGAACACTCTTACCTCTCCTACTGAGTTAGACAAAGCCTGAACTATCTTCTCATGAGCGGTGGCCACAACACTTTGTCCATTGATTTCAATGATCCGATGTCCAACTCTGACTCCTCCTCGTTCTGCTATCCCCCCTCTCATGAGGCTGCAAATCTAAAAAGAGGAATTAATGATGAATATAACTAGCAAGTGCTATGCCAAAAGAATGACTTCTGGCGAACATGTGGTCCTGGATGCAACACGTAAGTCAACATAGGTAAGAGATCAGAGACACAATGGGAAAAATTAATGAATTAATCCTAACTTGAATAAAATCAACACCTTCAATTCAATTCTACAAACATAAACTCCTATTATGTTTAGTATCCCTTGCCTAAAATTGTCTCTTGACTAGACCGTTACTTACCAGTAAATTATTGTCTTTCCTATACATAGAAGATCTTTCCAATAAATAAAATATGTGGATACAAGTATCAATTGTACAGTTGCCACCTTAGCACCCACAACAGAAGCCAGGTGAATGAAAATTGGTCTCCATTCCATTCAGTGGGGTAAGGGCAGCAGAGACCTCGAGACCTTCTGAGACCACTGCTAGGGAGGGAATCACTGTGTGAGGAAGCAGGGGCAGGATTTGGGCATATATTTGGGAGGAAGAGCTTACCTCGTGTGTCAAAAGGGGTAGGGCAGAAGCACGGCATCTGTTAGTTTCTTATTCTAACTGATTCTTGCTAAGCAGATGCTATTCCTCCCCCTCTAAAAAAAAATCCAGAAGGTGAGGAGTGAGATAAACTTCTTTGCATTGAGCTGTCAATGACTGATAAGGCTGACTTTGTGACCCTTTTAAAAGTTGATATCTTAACTGGTCCTAGAGGCTGATGAAGTGTACAAGTGCTGCTGGTTCTTCTCTGGGCAACTGTGGTTGCCCTGCCATAGATATAGCTCTGATTCCCTATCCTAAGGCTCCAGGAAAGCTCAGAAACAACAGACTTCCCCTTTGGGCTTTATTACCATTTTTCCTCCCTGAGAATGTTCCAGGAATTTCTGTTTGAGAAATGCCAACCAAAACGATTCCAAGGTTTTGCCTCATCCCCATCAGATTAACAAAAAAGACAAAAGATGAAAATAACCAATATTAAAGGGGATTTGTGGAGAGTGAGGGCTTGGGGAGGCACAGCGATGCATTGTTGCTGTAATTCAGAAGTGGTACAACCAATTTGGAATTATAACTATCCGCGAAGCATGATGCATACTTTGACCCAATGATAGCATGAGTGAGCCTAAAATTCAAGGAGTTTAAAGATGGAGGGAAAAGGCCTATATGCACAAAAATAGTTATAGCAGCATTTTTTGTGTGTCAGCAAAGAACTTGGAGCAAAGTGATTGCCTATCAATTCACTGAACAAGTTGTGGCAATATTAGTATAAGAAATAACAAATATGAAGAGACAGAGAAATTGGGAAGACTTGTATGGACTTAGGTGAAGTAAGCAAAATCAAGAGAAAAATGTGCATAATGGTGCTAATAATATGAAGGAAAATAATATGAACAGACCCAATGTGGAGACCCGTCATGACTTCAGAGGATACAATGACATGCCTACCATCTCTTAGCAAAGAGGTGCAGAATAAGGCACACATTTTCAGACAGGGGCAACATGTTGTTTTGCTTTGCTTGACTATAATTATTTACAAGGATTTTACCTAAGGGGTTGGGCCAAAGTCATTGGGAAGTAGCAATGATGTAAAAAAAAAAAAGCACACCCATAAAACATTTTTTAGAAATTTATTTTTAACTAAAAAGACCTGTGTTAAATGTCATTCTCTTTTGATACATTGCAAGAGAGCATTTTAGGATGAGCCATTAGTCCAATTTTGTTGGAACAAAAAAGTATATGAAGGGGACTAATGTGAAATAAGGTTAGAAAATTAGGTTGGAGGTAGATTTTCAAAGGCCTTAAACTAAACATGGGTTTGCCTTTTTTTACTTCAACCTCTCAGCAAGAAAAAAAAATGAGAATATTTTACCCGTGGGGAGTCAGAAGCCCTGGGTTCAGATCCTGGCTCTACTCTTGCTACCCCTGTGACCCTGAGCAAGTCATTCCTCTGGGCCACACTTTCATCATCTATAAAATGAGGGGATTTGTATTAAATGACTCTGTGGTCTCCTCCACCTGTATAATACTATGATTAACTCATCAAATTATTACACTCAAAGGAACCTCATAGATTATTTCATCAGGCATCCTTGATTCAAAAACCAGGTCTAAGGAGAGAAACTGAATTAATGATTCCGGAGGAGAAAAGACGGGGATGGGAAATATGAAAGCTGACTTCAATTATTTAAATGGCTGAGATGTAGAAAAGGAAGTAGACTTGTTCTATGTGCAGAGGGTAGAATTAGGCCCCAAGAGGAATGCCCTGGTCATCCGGAGAATTCTACTAAGATCTAAGCAGCTTATTTCAGAAAGGACATAGACAAGCAGGAATCTATATAGTAGGCACTGACTTGAGAGTACCTGAAATCATGCAATACAGAGGTTAGGTCAAGGAATCAGAAATATTTAGCCTGAACAAGGGAAGATTCAAGTTGAGGTTTGGGGAAGGGATAGAAGCTCTCTTCAATTATTTTAATTATTTGGAGGGTTATCATACATAAAGAGACAGCACTGCCCAGCGGACAGGTGCAGGATTGGAGTCAGGAAGACTCCAATGTCCAATGTGACCACCAGGCTGGGGCCTGGGGAACACATCCCTTCCCTTACTAGCCAGGGCCTGGGGCAGAATTGATTTTGCCTACTGAGAGTGGTGAGAAGATCAGCTGTGCTGAAACTAGCAAATTCCCTCTATCTCCTCTTCAAAACCCTACGATTGAGTCACAGGCAGACTACTACTTTTAGTTCCAATTTCTGAATACAAGGTAGCCCTTCTTCTTGCCAACGCCAACCTCTTTTCCTATCCCCTCCCATATTGCTCTATCCACAACTTTGTCCCATCAATCAACCACTCTTTCTCTCAAATCTTCATTCTTTCCGTAATAACCAGCTCCTTCCCTGCTACCTACACATATGCCAAGGTCAGTTTCATCCTTAAAAACCCTTCATTTGACTCTATTGCCACCCAAGCTATTGTCTTCTTGCTTTCTGTCTCTGCTTCTCTTCACAGCTAGAGTCAGAGAAGAAGCTTCCTACAATGATTGCTTCCACTCCCTCTCTTGGCACTTACCTTCTCAACCCCTTGCAATCAGACCTCTGGCCCCACCACTGAAACTCTCTCCCCACTGTCACTAATGGTCCTTTTATGGTCCTCATTCTTGACACCTCTGCAGCACTTGGCACCGTGGATCATATCCTGCCCTCCTTTATCCTTGTTCCTCTTTCTGCTCCTATCTGACTGCTCCTCCTCAGTATCCTTTGCAGGATCCTCTCCTTAAATGTGGCAGTACTCCTGAACCTTCTCTTGTCTCTTTTCTTCTCTCTCCCTCTTTCATCATCTCCCATGGGTACAATTATCATCTCTAAACCAATGACACTCAAATCTACAAATACAGACTTCATCTCTCTCCAGAGTGTCACCCCTACATATTCAACTGCCTGCTAGATAGCACCACCTGGACCTCCCATAGGCATCTCAAACTGAATAGATCCAAAATAGGACTTATCTTTGTGACTAAACCACTGACTCTATTGTTTCCTTGTTTTAGGACTGCTCATGCCTTACCAAATCCCAGCCCTGAGTTGTCACACTTTTCTGTTTCTATATGAGAGTTGCTGAGCACCTCTGGATTAATTCACACAACCATACTGAAATGACCCCCCACCTTATAATTCCCCTCTTTTTGCTGAAGGTATTTTCAACCCTCTAGTCACCTGGGTAACCTGGTACAACCTCTGCATCATTGTTGACTCCTCCTTTTCCCTCAATCTCCACATCCACTGAGTGGTCAAGTCTTCTCTATTCTTCTTCCATACCTCTCCCATCTGTCCCTTTTTCTCTATAAACACAGTCAACACTAGTTCAGGCCCTTGTTAGCCTTTCACCTCTGTCATCTCTTTTCTCTCCAATCCACCCTTCACACAGCTGCCCAGTCAATGATCCTAAAATACAGGTCTGATCATAATACTCCCCACTAAAGAATCATGAATACCTCCCTACCACCTTAAAGGGAAAATACAACTTCTTGACAGGGCATTTAAAGTCCTTCACAACGTGGTTCCAGCCTACTTTTCCATGCTTGGATCATGTAACTCACATACATGCTGTGTTCTAGCTCAAATAGTGTACCTGCATGTTCCATGTACAAATCCAACTAACATGCCTTTGCATAGGCTGTCCCTCATGCTTGACATGCTCTCCCTCCTCACCTATGACTGGCAAATCAATAGCTCCACACTTCCAGTCTTAGCCCAGGTGCCATCTCCTATAGGAGGCCATCCATAATTCTTCCCCCACCTCCATTGTAAGTGCTTTCTTCTCACCTGGAAAATTACTTTATATTTCCTTTGTGTATATATAGTAGGGGTTGCCCAAGGAATCCCTAATTTATTTGCTGGACTGGAACAGCAACCAAGGAGGGTTTTGCTCTTAAAGATCACAGAGGGCTCTGTGGGTTTCTCTGCAAGAATTTGTCCCCCTTTACACTCAATAAACAAACACTTCCAATTCAGCTGCAGTCATTCTGAACCAATCAGAGGAGTTCATCCACTGTGTACTCCTGGCAAGGAACATGTTCCTCAGCAAAGGGCCAGTGGGCGAACTCAGCTCCAATTCAGCGAATTTCCCCTTATTATCCCTGCTACAGAAACTTTATCGCTACTTCTGTATATACACTTGTGTCCCCAGAACAGAATCTAGGTTCCTGGAGGGTAGGAACAATTTGATTTTTTAAAAATTAGCCCAGAACCTAGCATGCTATCTTGCATGCAGGAGGTACTTAATAAAGGTTTTGAATTAAAATCATGTAACCAGGGCAGCTAGATGGAGCAGTGGCTAGAGCACTGGTCCTGGATTCAGGAAGACCTGAGTTCAAATCTGGCCTCAGACACTTGACATTCACTAGCTATATGACCCTGGGCAAGTCACTTAACCCCACAGCCTAGCAAAAAAAACAAACAAAAAAAAAATCATGTAATCTCTTTGAGCTTCAAACAACTCAAA